GCAGCCACTCAATATGGCAGCAATGGAAATTCGGTCAGAGGGTAGAACAAGATTAGGACAGACTATGTAATAGCAAGAAAAAGGACAAAAAAATTTACTAACAGAGTGGACGATCATATGCCAATACTAATAAAGAGAGGTGAATATATATTAACCAAAGCGTCAAAATGTTTGTTTTACTTTAAGGGTAAGACACGCTGTGCTTTTAACTGAAATGTATACAAACCACACGGAAGGCCTTCAAAAGATTTATTTTCCAAAGGCAAATATATTGATCGGTGGATTAAATTAGTTTGGTTCACTTATTCGTTCACTTCAACGGGTTGTATGCCCTGGTACATGGCATTTTTTCAAAGGCGGTGCTAAAACGCGATTGGTTCTGCAGTCGTTCTTATGTAGAGTAGTGTTATTGGTTAAAGACTGTACATCTGACAGCTGAAAGTTCCCTGATTTTGTCCTGGACAGGCAAATTACTTGTATGATTAGCAGCATATCTCTCTTCTACCTCTTATACCATCCTATGTTGAATGAGAGTAAACTATCTTTTACAATCTTAGTCTCAAAGTTCTACGGACAACATTTTAAAAATTCGGATTAACAGAATGGTGGTTGTGACCAGGGGGTACTTATGAATGAGGATGGACGGTCAGTCATTTTGAAGCTTGAAATAGCCATTTGAGGTTACTAAGTCGGTTACTACTGATTATGAAAATCAAGGGCTGACTTTTGGTGAATAAACTAGCGTAGAGCTTCATGCCCGTCAAACCAACGACTTTGAAGGAGAAGAAATGGTTTAGGAGCCTAGCAACGTTGATTTATCGGCCGAATACCAACTTCTTATAGAATAATAAGTGAACAGACTCCAATTTAGCATGTTGAAAGAGTGCGATTAGCTCTGTGAAGATTTAAATCATACGACCAACACAAATTTACGGCTTTCTGTCCATCCTTAGCTTCAGGACAGCAGAAATTGGTAGAAGTATGCGACTTTGAGGGCTGGGGAACTATAATCTAGTTTAATGACAGTACGCCTATCTTAGCTACTCGAATAATAGACCTAATTCCTGGGCCGTAGATTTGTCATGATGCGACTACACAATCTACAAGATCTTACGTGGAAATCATACTGTAGTCTTCAGTAACTCTCTTTATCGTAACAACCAAGTATGATGTTTAGTACTTCAACAGAACACGTACTCAGTGGAGACAGAACAATGTACTTGGTATGAAAGGGAGTAGGGTACACTTAATGACCACGCTCGCAAGGATAAGCCATGCCATTTTCATTACTATGTTCCCGCGTTCACCATTTTGGAACTTCTTCAAGTGTTGCATGTTGAATGTAAGTCTCAGTAATTATATGTTAGGCTTTAAAGGTCATGTGGTTAGGAAACAAGAGCACTACAAGGTATTTCCCTGGGAATCCCGGACACGTATTCAATATTGTACCAAAAAACAATGAGCGTGAGATATTTTTACTAATTACTAACTCCAGGATTATCAAACATCTCCGCGTCAAAGTGGGAACGGAATATAATCTCATACCAGAACAGAAGAATAAAGAATGGCGATGGAGTGAGATTTCTCCAGAAGTAACTAAAATTTCCGCCAGTAGTACAATGAACGTGGCTTGTCAACAACGTTGGCTAGGATTTTATAAAATGATAATCATAAAAACAAGCATCAATTATACATCCCTCGGCTATTTCAAGTAACTGTGAGTACCGACTACGGGTCGTAAATCATCGGACAGAATACCGTAAATATGGAGAGATTATCGCCAGAAGACGAAGCTTTAGCACAAATGAGCAAAACTGATGGTACGAACATTTCATATCCGTTGGCAACTAATTTTAAGATCACGACTGAAACTACTGTGCTTAGCATTTTTACGCATATGATTCATCCTAGCTTTTGGGTGAACTTAAAAAACTCAGCATGTGATTATTAGGGCATTTTTGCCTCCATAATAACTTCGTTGTCTTCATAAAAAATTTCGACCTGTGTATTCATGTATTTATGTCATTCACTCATTATTTTATTGTTCCCATCTTTTCGCCGCATTTATCGTTATCTGTTTTGGGTTATATTAACTCTCATTATGAATAGGATTGAGAGTTGAAAGATTATCTTTTCAGCTTTATCCTCCTTTTGTTAATCTGAGGCAATAAGTGTATGAAATATATGTATCCGAAATTCATTTTCGTATTTGACTTATTTTATCCTGTTATTCACTAACACGAACGAAGTGGATGACTATGTACGAGGGTAGGAGGCATGTATATTCCGCTTAAATCATCGTACCGTTCAAGTTGAGGTCAGATCAATGAGGCAATCAAAAACCGTCCAAGATGCTTTGTTCAATAAGTTGAGGCGCATTTCCCATCTACCATATGAAATTTGATTTTCTGATTATGTTAAAAATCACTCAGCTTAACAGAAAGAACACTTTGTCATCTATTCGTCACCCTATGGGCATTGATAGTGTTGTTGCTACCAAAAGTTTCATGTTGACACCCAAATTATTATACAATGTACGGATGTTAGCATTTCTAGTACTTTTGATCCCACCAGAACCAATCACCCCTGAGTCTGCAGCGAGATTCGAAAACTACGACAAGATGAAATCAAAGGTGGACTCTGTTTTTTCATCGAGTGGTCAGTGGCTGCAGCGCCTTGTTTAAACAAGTAGTATCAGCTCCATAAGTGATAGCTTTCAAGAAGCTGGATATTCAGCTAAAAACGAGCTGTAGAATTTAATATAGGCAAACTGCTCTAACAATGCATATACTGTAGAGACATACTTCCCATCAGTTCATAAAAACCCCACACACACCCTGGACAATGTGACCATTAAAGAACTCGATATTTTTGGTCTGATAAATCAGCTTGATATAAACAAAGCCATGGGACCCGATGAGATGCATTCTAGATTTTATTATTATTTATTATAAATAGCTTTATTCAACATCATATTCTTGGTAGAATAAAAAATTTTCAGCACAAAGTATTTCAACAAGTTTTCTTTCCTTATTTATTGATCGTTCCTGACGATAACTACTATTTGACTTCTAATGAGATGTAAGTAATTCGGGAATCGACATTTTATTAATGCACATTCTTTTCGCTGCACACTTCCAGCAGGCACGTTGTATCTGTTTGAACTTCTTTGTAACACGTACAGTGAAAGTTTGTGAAATTTTCACAAACGCACAGAAACAGACAACTTGTTGAAACATCTAAATGACAGGAACAGGTGGACCAGATGTTCAAGCAGGTTACCAAGGTAACTAGCAAATTTCGTCAAGAACCCCCTAAGTATATGCTTCAATCTATCCGTAACCGGTGTCGTTTACCAAAAGACTCGGAGGACGCCATAGTATGTTCTGTCTTCAAAACAGGTACGACAGATAAACCTGAGAATTACCGACCCGTTAGCCTAACTCAGGAAAGATTTTTCGGAAGGAGCTGTTCACATATCTCGATGGAAATCGGATCCTTTCAGAGAAGCAGAATGGTTCTATGATAGGTTATTCTTGTCTCACTAACTTATTAGTCACTTGTGAAAGCTGGTGCGCTCTTAAAGACCAAAATTTACTTGTAGACTTAGCCTATATTGACTTCAGCAAAGATTTTGGCAAAGTTCCTCACAACAGACTGTTATATAAGTTAAGTAATAAAGGAGTTGAATGCAATTTATTAGTGTGGATAAAAGACTTCCCAGTTGGGCGCCAACAAAGAGTACAGGTGAACTCAAAATTGTCTAGCTGGGGAACTGTTCTTAGCGGAGTGCCTTACAGTACAGTTTTGAGGACAGTATTATTCCTCTTGTATGTAAATTATTCTCTTCGTCTCCTATCATCATCGGTCTTGTCGTATGCTGACGATTTTATGATAAAGAGAGTGGTAAAAAAGTAAAGGTGATGATTTAGAACTTCAAAGTAACCTAAATTAATCGCCCGAGTGGTCTAAAATTCGGCGGCTGCCAATAAAGGATTCCAAGTGTATTGCGATGCATATTGCTCATCAACGTACAGAACATACACGGTGAATAACAGTGAGTTGCATGTTGTTCAGACACACAATGACTTAGAAGCCATCATTAGACAAGACATATAAGTTACTGTACACTGACGTGCAATAGCTGCCAAAGGTTTCGGAACGCTGTGGTCAACACGTAGGGCCTTTAGCCATGTTGATGAAAAATCCTCTATGTATAAAGTATTCGTGCGTCCTAAACTCGAGCACTTCATACAAGCGGCTAGCCCCTTTCTAAAAAGAGACAGAGAGCTTTTAAGAAAGGTTCAAAGAACTGCAACCAAACTGATTTCCGATATAGAAACGCTCCTGCATAATGCTAGACCGGCTAAACCTAACCTATTTCCACTGTTAATCGAAGAACTAGAGGCGACTTGATCACAGTCTTTAAATTACTTAGTGATAAATTTGCATCTGTTAAGTCCTGGTTTTTCATATCCTCCAAAACAGAAAACTTACGAGGACATTTCAAATTACTTGTCAGCTGACTGTCGACTTTCCTATCGAATCATCAATGAACGGAATTCGTTAACTCAACCCGTAATTGAGGCTCCATCTGTTGACGCTTTCAAAAGAAAGTTGGATCAACTGAGAGACCACCACTGCAAGGACTAACAAAGGCCACCTAGCCTCCTGTCCTCTCCACACGGAAACTAACCTGCTATCTTCAACACAGAAAACTGATGTTAAGGACTTCCCAAAATCTCAGACATCACAGCTCCATAGCTTATTTTGTGGAATAAATAAATACATAAGTTGAAAAAAAGACAAAATTTTCACGTTTTTAGTTTTGTTATGAGTACATTTAAATGTAAGTAATCTTTGTCAATTGTACAAATGGATTATCGTTCCTCTCACCCCCCAACACACAGGCGGGTACTTTAGGATACTTTTCCGTTGTTGATTTAGGGTCAAGTATTCGTTACATTTCTGACGTTTGTGATGTACATCTTGTTCTAGAAATGTCAACTCCAGCACAAAGACGGCTTTTGCGTGATTTGAAACGCCTACAGTCGGACCCACCTCCTGGTATTTGTGGTTCTCCTGTTGAAGACAACGTTATGATTTGGAATGCCGTTATCTTTGGACCGGACGATACTGCTTTTGAAGATGGAACATTCAAGCTTCGTCTAGACTTCACAGAAGATTATCCTAATAAGCCTCCAAGAGTTGTATTCACGTCCAAAATGTTTCATCCAAACGTGTATGCTGATGGTAGCATATGTCTTGACATTCTTTCCAATGCTTGGAGTCCCACTTATGATGTACTAGCCATATTGACATCTATTCAGTCTCTTTTGGATGAGCCGAATCCTAACTCTCCAGCTAACAGTATGGCAGCTCAACTTTATGTGGAAAATAGACGCGAATATGAGAAACGCGTTCGTGCTTGTGTTGAAGAAAGCTGGTACGAAGAAGATGTGTGAGGATAAGGGTTGAATAGTAATGACCACAGTAACTCGTTCTTGTACATAACTATTTTTTTTGTACAATTCTAACTGGCATTTAGTCTCGCGTTTCCATAATTTCATTTCTTATGGTTGGATGCGCCTTGAGAAACCTATTATTTCACCTAAATGTAATTTCCTTGCCTGTGATTTAGAGACTCATCCGCTTGTGTTAAAGTCGAGTCAATAAAATTTGTTTAGCATATCGTTTTCTCCTAGTCAATGTCTGTCTGTCGTAACTTTAAGTCACTTAAGCTATTTTGGAGCAAATTGTTGAGCAAATTCTTGTTCATAAGCTATGACCTTTATTTTGGTTTGTGTAACGTTTATTTGATGTAAAGTAGTCGTTACTGTAGTCCTCTGACACCGTCTTGTCTATAGTCTGGGAGTTTAAGTGTAAGATGTCGATTTTTATTTTGGTTTGGTTTAGATCTTGTTACTTAACACAACGTTTTGTTGTCTGTCGTATCTATTCTCATTTTTAAGTGCTTAAATTTCTAGAAAGCATGCTAACTATTTCACCTTTGATGTTTACTGAATGCTTGAAATATTCAAACCACTCTTGGTTTGTCTGTAAGAGGAAATTTAATGCTTATCCCCTTAAAGTTAAACTCTTCGTGCCAGTTCATCCCACTGAAATAAGAGCTTTGAAACCGGGATTCTTCTTACGTCAAAGTATATCCCATCCTACCTCTCAATCATCTCAAAGCGTTTCCTTGTTTGTTTTATGATGTGCAGACTACAGCAAACTTCTTGGTGATAACAGTTCTAAGTGTGTCACTCTCGTTCCGTACATCAGTCATTGGACTGTAGATTTGATGAATGTCATATGTGACATATCTGATTTAAAGTTTACCAAGTATTAAGGTTCCCAACCACAGTTAAGAAGAACGAATGATGGAAATAAGAAAGAAAGCTGAGTTAATTTCATATAGCTCCTCTTTTCTATTTCCGTTTTTATGAAAGTGGAGTCATCACTCATTACCATCTTGTTACAACTATAATACGATGGGTTCATTAGGCAGAAAATCACACCAAGTTCTAAGCAAGTTTGAACGACATTTGTGTCTACGTGTTGCTGTTGTTACGTGCGTGAAATTTGTGGGTGTAACAGCTTACTATCTTATATCAGACTTACAGGGGCCTATAAAGATTATTTGCTCTAATCTATTCCTTAGGTAATAGTTGTCAATGCTAGTCCGTTAATTGACCATATGTTAAATATCATTTGGTAGGGCCAATTTTTTAAGTACTATGTAGTCAAATCCTCTGTGTTCACCATATTCAGCAATGCAATGCAGAGTGAATGTCAACTCTTGGATCCAGGTACATCCATCTGGCGATTCCCAAATAGGATGAATCTCACGTCCTAGACTCCAATTCTATCTACTATCTCTTTCTACTTGTAAAGTGGGTTTTAATTCCCGAAAAATAACTTCATTTGATTTAAATACTGATGACATATTTTGTTTGTTTTCATCATTAGTGACAAAGAAAGGCGTTTGTTAAGCGTCTTCTAACTTTTATATTAGTGGCATAGTGGCCTAGTGGTTGCAGTATCTTCATTTATACTATAGGCTTACAGGTTCAAATACCATTACGTCTGTTTTGGTTTTTTTAGCAGCCCAGTGCCACTAGTTTTCACACGTATGGTTAATTACAAATCTAGATGTGATTACTCAGGTAATTATAATAATCGTATTTAAAAAACTCCGGAACTGGTTAGCGAGACTACCATCGATGGCATACTCCTTTTGTTCAGTTTTCAGACAGGTTGTTATAGCCATGGAGGGACACACTTCAGCTGATCTATCATTCAGCTGTTAAGTCAGTCTGGGATATTAATATTATTCTCACTGTCTTTCAACCTTAAACTTCCAAGCAATGTAGATGAAAGACAGAACACTAATGATGTACTACTTGAGTCATGTATCAAAGATCCTCTGTCTTATTCTCAAACAAGGGGATATAAAGTTATTATCCCAAAGGTAACCATATAGATGGCTTTTAATTTCAGATTTTGGTGATTACTGCTAGCTCTCATATTTTAGGCTGAATCCTAAGCTGATTACACAAGTTCTAGTTAACTGAGTTTAACTAAAATTGAATCGTTTGGTTTAGTTTAAAATGTTGAACTTCTACCGAAAGACTCACTTGTTAACTTAAAGTATGCCGATGACATAGTTCTATTTGGTGAAGACGCTGACAAAATGCAGAGTCTGCTGACCACTCTAAGCAACAATGCAGGCATGTTCGGCATGCGATTTTCTCCATCTAAATGCAAAATGTTGCTTCAGGATTGGGTTGCACCGCCACCTGAACTAGTGACAGGGAGTCTCATCAGCCCTTGTGGTCTGGTGTGTGACGAAATCTCAGCACGGATACAGAAAACTCGACTAGCTTTTGCCAACTTGCGTCATTTGTGGCGTAGGCGAGATATCCGTCTATCAACCAAAGGACGAGTTTACTGCGCAGCAGTTCGTTCCGTCCTACTTTATGGCAGTGAAACATGGGTGGCAAGAGTAGAGAATATTCGTAGGTTACTAGTATTTGATCATAGATGTCTTCGAAACATTGCTCGTATATCCTGGGACCACCGAGTAAGCAACTCAGTTGTTAGGAAACGGGTACTACGTAAGGATGGCGGATCGTTTGATGAAGTAGTGAAACTTAATCAGTTGAGATGGCTGGGACATGTGTTACGTATGCCCGACCGCCGACTGTCCCGACGTGCTATGTTTTATGGTGTAGGATTAGGTTGGAAGAAAGCTAGGTGCGGTCAGACCAAAACATGGCACAAATCCATGAAGTCACTGACAAGTGGACTGAGCCATGTTGGTAGGTGTAGACTATCTGATTGGGGACCGCGAGATGATAGCAACTGATGGTTAGAGATCTTGAATGACAAGGCTCGAAATCGTTTGCGATGGCGCAGTGCATCCACTCTTTGTGATCTCCCAAATTCTAATCTTCTGAATTCTTCATGTCCTTTATTTTCTTTCCAAATTTATTCCACTAGATTATACTCTTTAAATAACATCATCAAACCCTAATGTTCCGTGTTACTACTTATACTTTCACTACCTCTACCACTACGGGATTGGAATCGATAACTGAATCTCTGTGCTAATGTGGTATGGCAACTCGAACTGATGTACGTACGTACGAAGTTCCACGTTGTTACTGACTGACTGACTGTAAATACAAGGTTAGGTTTGTTGTCAACATATATGCTGAGATAGTAGTTGAACAACAATCGGTGCTGTTTGTTTCGGGTAGTAAATCTGACTTATTCCGGCCTGAGTAGCACCTGGATGTTGGTAATGAAAAGCAGATTGTCGCTGATTTACATTGGTCAGAAGTGACCTATAAAGCTCCGGTCGTAAACTTTGATTGGAGCCTCATGATGTTGATAAATTCAGTTTTTTTCTTCAAATCGAGAGTTAAGAATCCTATTTATTTCTGTTCCATTAGTTTTTTTCAACTTCTTGAGTTGATTTTCCGTGGTCTTTAAAGATGTATGGTGATTCAGTCCACCTATCAAACTTGTTTCATGTACAGTAATACTGAAGATTTATGTAATAGTTAACCAAAATAACATCAAATTTAACTCAGTTTGGCATTAGTCTGTATAGTTGTGTGCGCTGAAATAAAAATTCCCATGTTCTGTAGATGTTTTTTGTTAAAACGTTTATTTATTGTTACTTAAATTACTATGCAATTTTATTGGGTATGTTTTTCTTTAAAATTAGTAGTCCGCAGCTAATTACTTCCATGTATGGTCAGTTGATAGCGTGATGATTTTTTAGTTTAAACACCTGACTGTTCAGAGACTGAGTAATCACTCTTGAAGTTAGGCTTAAAAACTGTTCAAAAATAGTAAATCCATTGATGATGTTTTGGGATTTTATCAACTGAGGTGGTTGGGACATTCTCTATGTACTCCCAAATACCATCTACCTTGACGTCCTCTGTTAGGTGGAGTGGGGGGAGGCTGGAAAAAAACCTAGGGATGACCAAGTCAATACGTAGAATCAGCCTGGGTTATTAGTTTCAAACCACCTAATTGGAGTCCTCGTGACCAGTGATTAGAGATGCTCGGTTTTTATTATTTATTTTAACACATAGATATTGGTACAAGGAGGTACCAAGTATATATGCGCCACACAAATCTTACTTGATATGTGTGAGGGCTGTGATACTGCCCGGATGCCCAGAACGAAGCAGGTGGTTTTCTTAGGGGGCCACACCCCGAGCCTTTGACCTGAACGTCTGACCCACAAGGCAGTGGAGCATCGTAAGGAGATGCAGTTCCATGATAGCCGGTGACCAACGATTGGTTCATACGCCATTTGTTCCTTTACGATACTGGAGCCCATATGCACGGTGACAACTTAGAATTGTTCACGATGGTACAGATGTGTTCAGTTTTTATTTTCTTTTCGACATTAAATTCCAATATCCCTTCATACATACTTTTCTACTCAGTCTATTAAAATTATATTCCCAATAGTTAATCTTTCTCATTAATCATTAAATTTACCGTTTAATTCTCAAACTATGTACTTAAACTTGTACTTCATTAATAAGTTGTATTAATCGGTTGGTAACTTGATCGATTCAAAATCAATTTAGTTATTATTTTATATTAGTGTATAGTTCAAGTTGAATTCTATTTCATTAATTATTCTTATAGGCATATGGTTAATACTTATTCCTTAACTGATGTTTCATTCACTCCCTTCAAATGTACTTGTGTGTATTTCATTCTAAAAACAAAAAAAAAAACGAACAAAATAATTGTATGTTTGAACACAAATACTTTTTTTGTTTGTTTCAGAATTAACTAAGACGTTTTTTTTTTTGGTCTTAATGAAGTACATTCTAATTGTGTGTTTTTTTGTTGTTGTAAGAAAATTATCAATATGATAACAATTTAATTGATCTGTTAGTAATGAAGAGAAAAATGTCACAGTTTC